ATCACAAGATGGGGGGGTCATATAGTTCAGCACAAATTTCCACAGAACTCAGGACTTTCCACCAAAGGCTTAACCCCTCCCTGCATACTTCCTTAATTTCAGACTGCTTCTCCACCCTTAGGGGGGGCTGGGACTAAAAGGCTTAGGAGAGGTTTCCTTTTCAAGGATAGGGGGCTTGTTCTCCACTGGTCTTAGCGGGGAATCAAGGGGTCTAGGTCATCACACCTGGAGGTGTCCTACAGCCTCTGCAAAGACCCCACTGGGGTTAGTCCCTCCGATGAGCCCAGCTCAGCCTCCTGGTGAACATTCTCCAGCCTCAGGGCCACCCCAACCAGGGCCTGTTCGCCATCCAGTATGTGTCTTCTTCCCAGGAGGAGCTGGTATAGGAAAGGGAAAAATCACAGCTGGAAAACACAGGGAGTAGGGCTTCATGGTCAACCTGTTTCCAGCCCTGAAGGCCTGTATGAGCCCTGGTGTGGGAACACAGAAGGGAAGGGCAAGGTAATTGGCAGCTGCTGGAGATGAGGAGGTTAGAGGGGAAGACAGTTTCTGGTGGGGACTGAGTAACCCTGAGCAAAGGGGATGAGGCAGCATAGGGAAGGGTGAAGGCTGCTTCTGTGGCCCTGCAGACTCTGGGATTTGGTTCCAGTCCCTTCATAGCTCCACATAGCTGGACCTGGCTCCCTGGTTGGGGGTTCTGCTGAGGGTTGATGGTGGGGTAGGAGGTAGAACAGTTTACTCAGGACTTTCTTTATGGCCCTGATTGTTCCCTCATGGCAAAGTTGGCACCCTTGGTCACAGTGGCCATAGGTGGGAGCTTTGCTGCAGCTTCAGTACTCCCACCCCAAGCCCCCTGACACCCCAGAAGCTTTTGCAATCCCACAGCTCTCTACCTCGCTAGAGAGGACTCCTTGTGGTGAGTCACACCTCCTGATCAGTAACCAGGGACCTCTAAAGGGATCACAGTCTCTTAATTCAGTTTAGTTTGTTTCCAAGTGTGCATGCATGTGTGTGTATCTACCCACACGTCTCTGTGTTTTGAGAGATGGAATTATTTTTTTAAAAGTCTGAAGGCCTCAGATTGTGTATGAAGTTGCTGGTTTGCTGTCAAGGGGGCACTGTGGATGGAAATTCTATGGCCTGACCCTATAGCACTCAGGGCCTTGGAGGTCCTAGAGGACCCTCTCTAACCATCTTCACATCTTCAGCATTTACATGCCCAACTCCAATGCTCACATCTTTCCAGGAATCGAAGCTCATTTTCTCTTTTCCTGAACAACACTAATTTGTTCATCACAAGGTTCCCTGAAACCTCAATTTTTATATGTGTAGGGATGAAAACCAAGAAGCCTGGGAAGTACATCCCAGGCACACACTGAACTTAGCCCAGGAGTCTGTGTCACCTCCTACAAAGGCTGCTCCACTGACCCCACACTGAACATCACCAGGGTACTGAAGACACAAGGAGCCCTGGGCTCAGGAAGCCTGAAGGACCCCAGAGAAGGTTTCTCCAGCACATACCAGGCTCCCAAATGTGAGCAGGAAACGAAAGACCAGGGTTTAGAAATGAGTGTCATTCCATGCCACTGGAGGTGGGGTGAACTGATCGGGGACTCTGGCACAAGGGATGTTACCAGAAGGAAGTAGTGATTGTAAGTGAAGGCTGGTTCCTGAGGCCCACAGGGTTCGTGCTGGTGAGGGCAGGAGGGCTTTAGTGGTCTAAGGAAAGGGGTCAGCACCCTGCCAGGCCTCACTGCTATCCTCTGGTTTGCCTGCCCTTCTGTATCTTCCTGTAACTCCAGGGTACTTTGACAGGAAAACATTGCCCTGGCTTCTATGGCTGGAAGGTGAGAGAGGGAACACGGATAGTCCCCTGGCCCCCTCAAAATCGCACCCCAGATCATCCCTGTCACTCCTGAGCTCTATGAAGGACCTGCCATTTGCTGCCATAGGTCCACACATCACTATCCCTGATGCCACTTCAAACCTCAGAAAAAGCATGTTAAGGACATAAAAGGGTACCAACTATTGAACCTAGTTTGTGTGACTCACTTCATTTCTCCCTCCCAGGGGCCCTGGAAGATTCCTTCTTGCTGTTTGTGAGTCTCCAATCCTCTCCTTGTCCTTTTCTGGCCTCTGAAGTCAGGCCCCCCTTTTGGGACCCCCACACTCCTTTACATAGAATCACTGAATCAGGAAGGCCCCTTTCCAGTCCCTTCTTCTTGCCTGAACCTTGTTGTCCTAGAAATCAAGAGTGACTTAGCTCTCTGAGTAGTGAATCCTGGGGGTCTAGCTAGATGAGGAAACACAGGCTCAGTGGGAGATTTCTATCTCATTTGTCTAAAATCCAAGGGGAGCTTTGCAAATCTGAAAATCCCTGGGAATCAATGTCTTCTAGGAAGAAATCAAAGGAAATCCATGGTTTTAAGTCAAATAAAATAGTGATTTATGTGTCCTCTGCAAATATCCCTATGAGACCCCCCCCTCCAGCTAATGCCTGCTAAGTTGACACCTGAGGTCTGCTGAGCCAAGTGAACAGTTTCCCTCCCAATCCCCACCCCAAGGGCATAGCTATCTTGAGGGGACATGGGGACCCCTCAGAACCTTCAGGCCAATTCCATCCTGTGGGAGGGAGCCCACTGGCCTGGCCAATGGGCACTTGAGGAGGTGGGCAGGAGGCTGAGAAGGTGTGGGCTGAAGCTCTGTCCACCTGCTTTCCCGCACCCCAATTGTCACCTCATCATTTTCCCTGGAGACCTCAAATCTTGTTTGGCCACACAGGGCAACACCACAACCAGGAGGGCCATTGAGTCCTCGTTCCTCAGCTGCCTGACTAGGCACCTTCTCACACCTTCTTTGGACCTCTGAATGGTATCCCAGGACAGTCATGGCCAGAGGTGAGGAATGAGGTAGGACAGGAGACCAGCTGACATGAGAGCTGTCCCCCTTCACTGTATTTCTCTCCCGAGGACACATCACCTCACATAGTGACCAACCCCAACCAAAGAAGCACCCCAGGTTTAATGTGCCTGCACAGAGGAGAATGAACCAGAGTGGAATCTGTGGGGATTGAGAAAATAAAACACAGGATAAGACATAAGATATGAAAGATGGGGTTGGGAGTTCTGACACAGCTGGTGACTACAGCCAGCACCAAACCACAAAATCGGCTTTATTTTCTAGTATCTCAGCAGGGTCATTTAAGGGGAAGTAGCATAGACAAAAGACATATTTTTGGTTTTATACTATTATTTGAAAACGTAAATAACTTTCTCAAAAACAAATCCTCCTGTTAATAGTTCCTACCTAACTTTGTTAACATATGTCAAAAGGTAAAAATGGAAAGATCATAAGGATTTCTGCATAGTTCCTAAAGATTAACTAGACAAGTAATGTGCTTCTGTGACTTCCAGCAGAAGACAGAAGAATAGTGTTGTTTAGGGAAAGGAGGAGAAGCAGGTGGGGGGTCATTCCCTGAATGTTCCCCATGTTGTAGGGGCCCCACTGTCTCACAGCCTGGTCTTCACACCCAGGCATGGCTTCACAGGGCTTTGCCCGGCCTGGGGAGGCCCCAGGTGACAATGGCATCCACCAGGAAGGTGGGCATGTAGCTGAGGGGGAGGTAGAGAAGCTTGGCGTCCCAGCCAGCTGAGTACCGGGTGCGGGGGTGGCAGGCGGTCAGCGCATGCTCCATGCAGTCCGTCACCTCAGACAGATTCAGGCTGCATCTGGTTGTATGTTTTTCAGATATCATTTTGAGGTCTGTTAAGGGTGAGAAAGGGCCCTTAATGTGCTGGCACATCCCTCCTTCCCTTCAAACCATTCATACGTCTACCTTAGAAGGAAACTTTCTTTTCTTTTTTTTTTTTTTTTTGAGACAGGAGCCTCAAGCTGTCCCCCTGGGTAGAGTGCCGTGGCATCTCAGCTCACAGCAACCTCCAACTCCTGGGCTCAAGCGAGTCTCCTGCCTCCGCCTCCCAAGTAGCTGGGACCACAGGTGTCCGCCACAACGCCCGGCTATTTTTTGGTTGCAGCCGTCATTGTTGTTTGGCGGGTCCGGGCTGGATTCCAACCCGCCACCTTGGGTGTACATGGCTGGTGCCTTAGCCACTTGAGCCACAGGCACCGAGCCAGAAGGAAACTTTCTAAGAATAGCGGGTTCCTGGATGATATGCCCCAATTCTACTTGATCTACGATCCCCAGGGAGTGGCCCACTCTTGCCCCAGGAGCAGCTGCTACACACCAAGCCTCCTCTCCTCCCTGGCAGGGGATACTGGGACCACAGAAGTAGAGGTCTCTGCCAACAGAGGCTCAGTGCAGGGACACCAGGCATCTCTACCGTGCTGGACATGGGCCCATGGTCTCTTCTCTCTCTGACTTTAGTTTCCTTTTCATAATAATGAGGGGACCAGAGCAGACAGTGGTCCCCATTCCAGGAAGACTGCAGTCTTTCTCTAGGTGATCTGCTGACTACAAGGCACCTTTGGAATGGGGCTAAAGCACTTCACTTTGTTGGGGTTGGGGGGCCAACTTCCTTCTGTTCCCCTGAAGTATTGGGGCACTAATGATGATGGACATAGGACTCCAATGAGGCTCACTTCTCTGCTCACTGTCCACAGCTCACTCACAGGATGCCAGAAACTTTTGGCCATAGATCTCCTTGATCTCGGGGCTGGCGTGGTCCCAAGTCTTCTGGACCATCTGCAAAACTTTCTCAGTGTTGGTCATGTTTGTCTCAAATTGACCAGGCTCAATCACAGCCACCTTCACCCCAAAGTGGGCAAGCTCCCTCCTGCAAGACAGACATGCTGAGGGCCGGGACTTCAGAGGTCTGGGAAACAAAACACAGAAAACTAACAAACCCAGAAACAAGCGAAGACACGGTGGTGAGATAAGCCAGAAATCCTGGCAAGTTGGCACGTACAGCAGCCAATGGGCAAAATTTAAGAGGATAGCCAAGGGATGGTAGCTCACACCTATAATCCTAGGACTCTGGAGGGGGAGACAAGAGGATCCTTTGAAGATAGGAGTTTAAGACCAGTCTGAGCAAGAGGGAGACCTGGGCTCTACTGCAAATGGAAGTATAAACTCGGTATTGGGGCAGGTGCCTGTAGTTCCAGCTACCCTGGAGGCTAAGGCAAAAAAGATCCCTAGAACCTAGCAGTTGGAGGTTGCTGTGAGCTAGGCTGACACCTTGGCACTCTAGCCTGGGAAATAGAGGAGACTCTGTCTCAAAAACAAAAACAAAAAACAAAAAAACTTATGAGGATGGGATTTCTGGTGTAGAGGGTTACCATATTTTACAGACCAGGCTTACCTGCCCAGAACACCCTGGACTCTGCTGCAGGGCACCACTGCAGCAGTACCCCTCATGATGCTGACCCCACATCCAATCAGCATCATGACTGGCCCATTGCACTCTCTGAGCATCTCAAACTCCTTCCTCCCACTCCTGCCCCGGGAAATTCCTGGGGCTTGTCTCAGTGGTGCTACTGCAGCTGTCTTCTGAGGAGTTTCCCTTGGCCTTCAGTCCTGCCTCTCCACACACCATGCACCCAGAGGGCATCTGGATGCCCGATAGATAAGCAACTGCCCTGAGTACACCTTGCCATGGGTTTCACTGTTGACAGCACAAAGTCTGGCTTGTGTGCAGGGTCAAAAACCTCCATGGCCCATGGCCCACCCCTGCCCACCTGTCCAACTCTCTGCAACAGGCCTGGCCTTGCCCTTCGGGCTAGGAGGACCCGCCACGCAGGAGTCATTGCCAAGTCACCGTGGCCCTGGGCTGATGACATGCTCTCATGCAGGAGTCCTGCCCACTCTTCTTCACTGGTTGCCAAGTACAGCTCTCTAGGTCTGAGCTCTCACCACACATTTGAGACCCTCACACAATAGAGGGTGAGGGTGCCAAGGCCAGCATGGCTGATTCGGTCACAACCCCCTTAAGGGTTGGTAATGATGTTTTATACCTCCTGTGCCTCTATCTCCCATTATCCAGGTTACTAGGTGAAGGACCAAAACATGTGGTCCTAGGGTATGCTGACCCTCCACTCCCACTGCCTTCCCCTTTTGTCTGTGGCACTGAGTCAGAGGCTGCACTCACCATCAAGCGCTCAGTGCTTCCGAATAATGCAGTGGCCATGGACATGGACTCTGCACTCAAATCATCCCTGGTCTTATCTGCCTCAGACGTGTCCTGTGAATGGGACTTTCTCAGAAGGCTCAGAACCATGTTACACGAGTTCTGAGGCCTGAGGATCCTTTGTTTACCAGAACATGGAGATGAGGCCCAAAGGGACGGCTGGCTAAATGCATGGAAGTGCTGGGCCACAAAGCGTGACAGAGGAGTCTTGAACAAGGAGCCTCTAAGGCTGTGATTCAATCAAACCCCTGAAAACTCTACCACAGAAGAATAGGAACAAGATGCAGGCCAGGCGCCAGCCCAGTGTGATTACCTGAGGGAGTCCGAGAAGGCCTCGACGCCATACTTGGAGATACAATAGCCGCCACCAAAAAGTGAGACCCGGCCCAGGATGCTGGAGACATTGACCACGCGGCCCCTGGCCTTCCTCACTAAGGGCAGCAGGCTCAGAGTCACCTCAATCACTCCCAGCAGGTTCACGTCCAGTATAGTTACAAAGTCCTGTTTTGTCAGCCACTCGTTGGGAGCTGTGGGCTGGGAGGTGCCAGCGTTATTCACCAGGCCCCAGAGTCCTGGGGACAGAGGGAGATGAGAGCAACACTGTGTTGAGCCTGTGCAGTTGGACACAGTTAGGTTCAAGCTCACATCCCAGTGGAATTTATGTGTGGAGTCAGGAAGAATGTGCTTCATGGCACAAGGGAACAGAGTGGAGGAGAGGAAATACGGACTTGGTGCCTCTGGGGGTTGTTCAGGTTTGCATATTCTTCAAGCTGCTGAGGTTAGGGAGGGTCCTAGTCATCTCTGCTCCGTGCCTGGTGCCCAGCATGTGACTGACCCAACTTTCTTAAGTGCATGGGCAGAGTTTGAGAAAACAGAATGGGGCCTCAAAAAAATCTGAAGACGGGAGAGAGACAGAGACAGTAAAAGGGGAATGGGGTAAAAGAACCTAAGGGAAATGCAGAGAGGAGAAAGGAAAAAGCAGAAAGAAAGGGGAAAAACCCATGAATAATGGTTTTCTACACCCAAGTTGGGAAAGGCACACTCAAAATCGCAAGAGTGGGGTAACCTAGTGAACAGGGCTACTTTGGACATCAGGGGGCAAGCTGTGACACAACCCACACAAATTCCAAGGCAATATTTGCTCAGGAGGCTATGTTCACCCTCTCTGCCTGAAAATCCTAAGTCCACCATGGAGTGGAAACTCAGGACAAATGGTAGGAGTCCTCAAGCCACACCAGTGTCCAGACTGCACCCTTGCCCCTGAGAAGTGTCAGACTCTCCTTCCAACCTCCGCAAAGTTCACCCTTGACCTAACCTGGCCGGTCCCCACTGCACTTAGCTCTCAGGAAGAGTCTCTGAAATAGATAGAGGGGAAAAAACACAAAATCAAGGCCAGGCACAATGGCTCATGCCTGTAATCCTGGCACTCTGGGAGACTGAGGTGGGTGGATCACCTGAGCTCTGGAGTTTGAAACCAGCCTGAGCAAGAAGAAGACTAAAAATCGAAATACTAGCAGGGTATCATGTCAGTTGCCTATTGTCCCAGCTACTAGGGAGGCTGAGGCTGGTGGATCACATGAGCCCAAGAGTGTGAGGTTGCTGTGAGCCATGATGATACCATAGCACTCTATCAATGGCAAAAGAGTGAGACTCTTCCCCTTTAAAAAAAGAACAACAACAACAACAACAAAAAAAAAAACCCAAAAAACACCCAGCTGCATCATGAAGGATTTGAAATAGTTGAGTTATGCAACTACAGACCCAAGGTCAGCAGGAACAGGGTTTTCAGTGAGTGAGGGCTGGGGGCAGGATGGGCAGAGTTTGAGTGTAGGAATATTAGAAAGTGAGTAAGGCCTTGCAGTATTAGTCTCCCCTGCCCCTGATATTTTTCTTGGCTTTATAGAAATTTGCAGTCTTTGCTCCAGTTATTTTACTTTATGTGAATAACATTACTAAGCATGTGAACAAACCTTCTTACTGAATTTTTATTTTATTTATTTATTTTTTTGAGACAGCCTCAAGCTGTCCCCCTGGGTAGAATGCTGTGGCATCACAGCTCATAGCAACCTCCAACTACTGGGCTCCAGTGAGTCTCCTGCCTCAGCCTACCAAGTAGCTGGGACCACAGGCACCCACCACAATGCCTAGCTATTTTTTGGTTGCAGCTGTCATTGTTGTTTGGCGGCCCAGGCTGGATTCGAACCCCCTACCTTAGGGGTATGTGGCTGGTGCCTTAGCCACTTGAGCCACAGACGCAAAGATCTTACTGAATTTTTAAAGAGATGTTATTTGTGACAGACAAAGTAGGAATCAAACTTCAGCATCTGACAATATAGGACTGTTGAAATAAATTACATTCTCTCAACACAAACATATAGACATTGAATATTACATTTTGGAAGAGATTTGATGATACTGAGCTGATCCCAGAGTTCTCTGCTAATGAACTCTGGAGGATGGGCCAAGGGAGAACGATGTTTTACCTCCAACCTCTTCTGTGTTTGCCTCAATGATCATGTTCTATGTTTATAATGAGAACAAAGCAGCATAATATAGTAGAAAGAAGAGGACTTCTTACTCTGTATTTGGTATAAAGTCCCTTTAGGGCTCCAAGCCTCAGTGTCCCCATGAGTCAAGTGAGGACAGATAATCTTACAGCCTTTGGGGTGGGGGTCGGGAGATTAATGTGAAGGAATCAATAAGAAAATGCTGAGATGGTGAGGCTGAATCCTGCCAGGCCCCAGGCCCCTGCTGTTTGTGGCAACCCTCCAGGGCCCAGCCTTCCTGTGGAGAATTGACCTGACCTTGGGGCGTAGGCACAGTCGCTCTAGGACTGATGCTCTGGAAAATGTGAAGCTCAAGTCCTTGAAAATACAAACATCCTGGGAATCTTCCCAGTTAGCAGACAAAGTTCCCCCAACACACAGACAGATAAAAACAGAAAAAAACAGGAGTCTGGGAGGTACCTCTGTCCCCTACACGCTCCTTCACCCACTGGGTGACTGCAGTGATGTTCTCTGTCTTAGAGACATCCAGAGTCACCGTCTCCAGCCTGTGTGATGCCTGGGCCTTCAGCTGCTCCGCTGCCTCCTCTGTCCTGCATGCAGCCAGAACCCTCAAGCCTCTCGTGTCCAGCTGTCTGGCCAGCAGGTTCCCGAAGCCAGAGCCGCAGCCTGTGATGAAGACGTACTTGTCTTGGAGGTGGCTCACCACCTGCCTCTCCCGGTACCAGCGCAGCAGGTAGTATAAGCCCAGGAGGGCTGCCAGGTACAGCCACATGGCTTGCAGAGGACAGTGCCTACCGGCTTTGACTGTGCTAGATGTCTAGTACTCTCTGCTATGAGCTTTACAGATGTCTCCCTATTAAGGCATTCTTGAATTTTTATCTCAGTGATGCTGTGAAGAAATCGTCAGAGGGCTGATCAAACGCACTGTTGATTTTCCCCAGCCCCACCTCTCCCAGCCACTCCTCTCCCTCCTCCCTGCCATCCCCTGATCTCAGCTCACCACCCTGAGCACACTGGAAGTTTCCTAACCTCAGTATTACTCTCCCTCCTCCCTGCCATTCCCTGATCTCAGCTCACCACCCTGAGCGCACTGGAGCTTTCCTAACCTTGGTCTTATACTTAAAGAGTGGTCCATGCTCATTTTGTCTCCCACTCAGTAAATGTTAACTCTTTAACATTCCGGATGATGAAGCTAGTGTCATAATATTACAGCATATGGTTCTGTAGCATAAAATCCCCAGAAGTCCCATAACCTTGTGAATTCATGTATTTGTGAAGCAGAGGATTGAGAGGTATCATCCAATTCCAAAGTGTACTTAGCCCAGGAATCAATATGACTTTCTGAAAATGCTTCCTTCATGGAGTCCACTCTGCCAACATCATCAAAATAGTGAAGACACAGTCAGCCACAGGCTCAGAAGCTCTAGGTGATCCGGGGGCTTCTGTTCAGCACACAGTAGGAGCTTAAGGAGGGGTAGCTATGAATGACTCCTGAGGAACCCTCACTTCATGCCACTGGGGGTGTGTGAATGCCAGGAGATGGAGCTGTGGGGACTCTGGAGCAGGGGACAGGTGCTGAGGGCCGCTGGTGG